GTGTGTCGTGTCAAACACGCGATTACACGCGCGTTGATTGTTCCATGGGAACGATCCATCTGATCAAAACCAATTTTTCTCAAACAATTGCAACACGAATAAAAAGCACGGATAAACACCTCGCGCGGTTGTTCCTTTAAACGTGACTTTGTCACACCATTTATTTCGAATTTCGAGATTCAATTCAGAAAACGATTGAAACCCAATTTTCAAAGAAGCTTAACGGAAACGCAAACATCGCGAAAACGATACATCGAGCGTTAATACAGCGTTAAAATCAACATAATACGTGGATCCGTCGAAAGGTGTGCATTATCCTGGACAATTTACCTCGTAAATTCATCGCGGGTTTAAAATCATTCACGAGCTTGTTTTCTCGTCCCTCGAGGAGGAGGGAAACACGATAATCGGTCGTTGAGCGCCTACGTGGGATCATCGATAATACCTGGACACGCGAAACGAGAGGAATGGGGGGGGGGAGGAGAAGGAGTTTGGTTTCTTCGGTTCGTTGACTTCCTCCTTGCGCTTTCTTTATTTCTTTTTTTCGTTTCTTTCTTTCTTTTTTAATCTCGTTGATACGAGCGCCGTTTAAAAGGTTTCTGAAAACGTTCGTCGTGTCGAGACGTTTTGCTTTTGTTTGGAGGGAAATGTCGGGCGAGGAGGAAAGGAGGGGGAGGGCAAGTATACCGGGTGACGACGATGTTCGAACGAAGAAGAAAGAAAAATTCGAATCGACGAGTTTCTGGGGGATTAAGACGAAAAATGAATGAAGAAAGTTGAGAGAGAATTTCCTGTGGTTGTGGATTGGATGAAAGGAGGTATTAACTTCGAGATGGATGTGCAAGTACGTCACATGTGTCGATAGTTTTTACTCGTTTACGCACGTTTGTGATGAACGTTGCCGATATTTCAGGTGTGGAGTTACGTGATATTATTTGAAGAGGAACTTCGTTGAAGGAAAATAGAAATTGCGTACCGTGCCGTCGATTTGTTTGATCTTTGCCAAGATTTATGGGGGAAACGAAGATAGAGCGAGACTAGAATGACGACTCTGACTGCGAGAAAATGCATTGGCTTTCTATTTTTCTTTCTTTGCATACTTCATATTCAAGATCAAGCGAAATTTAAACTTCGTCGATTTAAAGTTTCTTATTATTTATTATCCAGTTTACATATATATATCATTATTATATAGATTATCATTCTATTATCGATAATTTAAATTTTAAGGCGTATTTGTAATAGTCAACGGATATAAAGAACGAGTCGAGACAAGAAATTTGGAGATTATGGAGATTCAGATAAATAATTCGTATTAATTTGACTTATATACTTCACTTCCCCAAAGAAATATACAAATACTGTTCAAAAACGATGTTAAACTTTATCGACCGCTTGTTAAAAATATAAACAAGATATAATTTTAAACCCTCTCTCCCTTCTCAAAAAAATAAAAAACGAAGCATTGTAGTACAAAAGTCTACTAAAAGGAAAAAAAATTTCTAAAATCATCTCTTAATTCCTCTTTCATCCATTTCTTTATCGAAGCGAACCATCGTTTTTCCAATATCCAATCACCTCGATCTTTCCATTTCTCGGTTAATTTGATCGGATGAAACAAGCTTACGTAATGTTGTTTCTCCGTATCCATTCCATCGGCAAAATTGATCTGATTCGGCGCTCTTTTGAGTCGGTTCGTCGACGTTCGAAACGCGACACCCGGTATACAGGTGGTGAGCGAACGCGCGTGGGAGACGCGACGTCTGACCCTGTATCACGTTTTGATAAAAAGAACACGCGTTATCGACAGGTACGTCGGCATAACTAACGTACCTTCTACTGGCTCGGCTAAAGTAAATTCTCGAGCGTGGATACGATAGGTATTATTCGGTAAGAGGACACGAGGACACTGTTTTGTTATCGTACGTGCCATTTATACGACGTTTATCCGGTGTTCGGTTGTGTCTTTTGTTTGCTTTGCGATTTAAGTTTGCGTAACGCATTTGCATAACACGAGTTGTGTATTAAGATGTGAATCAGTGGGGGAGGGGAGGAGGAGGAGCGAGTGAATTATTCGGATAAACGTGTTTCTGTATTTCTTTTTTTTTTGTAAAAGTTTCGTTAATCTCGTTGAAATTAATATTTTCGTTCAAACGTGGATAATAAGAATTACGAAGGATGCTTATCGAAAGAAAAATATATCTTCTAATATCGAATTTTCATATTGGAAATCGTGTTAATTTATTGATTTTGAAACTGCTAGAAGGAATTTAATTGATATTGATTGAAATTTTTTGGAAATTGAACTGCAATCAGAGTCTAGAAACTAATTTCAAAAAAAAGGAACGAATTATGAATCATATCTTTCTCGATTATTGTAAGGATTTAAACAAACTTTATAAGTCTGATATAAAAAATTTTTGATAAAATTTTAATAAGAAAGGATTTGCACATAAGACAAAGATTTTTCTCTACAACAAGACAAGCGAAACTGCATACTTGTGAAAAAGAGAAAGAGAAGATGCAAACCCGTGCCACACGATTGCAACTACGATTATCCGAGCATGTAATGTAACAAATTGAAAACACTTCGCTTGGAAAATATGTGCCACCTCGCCCCATCGCCGCGCCAAATAACGTATATCCTCAATTTCTTATCACCACCAACCTTTCCAAGATCGTCGGATATTAAACCACAGTCTACAGTGGTCGCCCAGTTGATTCTGAGCTCTCGAGCTCTTGCACTTCCCGGGATTACCTCTTTGCGGTTCGACAATATTCCAGGGTAGTTCCCTTGGACTAGTAGTTGGATATTTGGCAGCTACCCGGATACACACTATTTCACTTCCAAAGTATCAGAGCGCAGGAACAACCCAAGTACTTACTCCCCGAGAATCCGGAACACCTACGGCCAGCCATGGGGCCAACTAAGTCGCAACTAGATTAGAACACTGGCCAGGCCAGATTCGAATGCTGTTGGAGCAAAGATACCAGCCTCTAAATCGTCTATTTGTTTTCATTGATCGTGTCACTCTTATTTTGCACTCGTATTTATTTTTTAACCAAGTTATTACCAATCAAGGTAACAAAAGTCCCTAGAATGTGATTACATTGTACATGTATTATTTATTGGAATACGCAGGTCTAAAACATTTTTTAAAATTCATTTTAAGATAACGAAACTCTGTTTCTCGTAGTATTCGTAGAAACGATCAATTATACGAATATTCGCCATGGATTTCGTTATACTCCCCTCCCCATTATCGAACCTGAGATTCCATTACCATCCACCCCTCCAAGACTCGACCCCTAAGGTGTCACTCGAGCGTTCCACGAGCGAGATGACGAGAGAAGCCGGAGCCACCCAAAGTACTTTAACCACGCGAGGAATTTCACAAACGAAACCAATTTCTACGGCCGTTCAGACGAATATTGCCGACGGAATCGGCCATTCAGCCAGGTAAATGAAGCCAACGAAAGAAGATCCGATTTGTTCAAAGAGCTGATTCGAAGATTCCTCTTTCGACAATGAGGCTGATTTCACGTTAAATCCGGCTACGATAAATCTATGTCGAAGATGTTGGGGCTGAGGTTTTTTTCCAACCTGGGGAGGGGAGGGAATTTATGCTCGACGGGGGCGGGATTAAGACGGGCAAGCATCGGAGAGGAAATCGAATTTGCGGTTGTTGAGATATTGATAGGTATTTAGGGAGGGGGATGATGTTGCGCCCTCCGGAGAATTCTGGAGAACGTTTTGTCGAACGAATAATTGGCGTTTTAAGTGTAATAAGAGAGTTTTCAGAGATTGGAACATCTCTGGTGGTAAGTATTTTTTTTTTTTTATTATATCGTTTTAGTTTTTCTAGAATCTCTGTTTAAATTTTATGTTATTTTATTTGATTGGATATCTGGCTAAATGTCATATCTTGTTCTACGAATTTTTACGAATTCAATATTTAAATTTTATTTCGAAAGAGATTTTGTTAAACAATTGTAACAATTCTTTTTGTTAAATTTTCACGATAGGGATGATTGTACTGAAGATTAACGTTTTTGAGATTATTTTTTGGGAAAAATATGATTTTAATGCAATACCAATAATCGAGCCAGATCACTTTTCATTCATATCTGAATTATTTCATTTTTACGCTATTCTCTTCTGTTTCAATATTTTCTTGTGAAAGAAGGATTAACAAATTTAATCGATATTTAAATTTTATTTTCCAAAGAGATTGAAATTTTGTTAAACAATAATTCTTTCTATTAAATTTTATTCGTTTCAATGGTTAATAAATTTCACGATGGAGATGTTACAATTGACAATTGATATTTTTGAGACTTTTTTTTTTTTTCGAAAAAATAATCGAACCAAATCACTTTTATTTCATTCATATCTGAATTACAGATAATTTTATTTTACAATATTTGAATTTTCTCGCGAACAGAAAGAAGGATCGAAAAATTGTGGTATCTTTTTTTTAATCAAATTTTAATAGATTACCATAGATGTTTTCAAAATCGAAATAAGAATAAAACAAAGATTTTACCGAAAAGCAATTTTCATTCTCACGAAAACAAAGAAAATTTTCACGGGTGGCAAGCACCCGACTGTTACGTGACACGCGACATTGACAGCTCGTGACACACGCGTGGTTGATGTGGCTAGTTCGCGTCACGTTTGCATTCCAAAAAAGAAAATAGAAATGTCAAAAAGAATCTACGTCAGATACGTTCGCAAATATATTTCTTCTTTCAGAAATATTTACATCATTTTCTGTGATTCTCAACTCTGCTTATTCTTCATTTCTTTCCAATTGAAAAAAATCATTGCTATTTACACCATTTATTTATTAATCTCATCTTTATCGCAAAATTAAATATATACTTTGGCAAGAAGATAAATGTTATCGTATGATATCACTCGCTATTTAAATTAAACCAAGCTCAGTCTCGCTCGATAAATTAGACAAATCGGTTGATTTATCATCCTTTGTTAAAAAATGCGAAATCGTGTTCCCTTTGCGTTCATCGTTCCCTTGTGCTTCCTTCTTCTTCCGCCGATCAACGTGATATCGGCGGGAATCGAAAATGTGTTGGATGGACACGAATCTAAGGCGTACGAAAAATCGATTTTTCCAGGAAACGATGAAAATAACGGACAATCATCGAACGAGGCGTTGAATAATTTATCAGAAACGGCGGGGCTGAACGAAGACAGAACGAATCGTGACAAGAACAAGGATGGAGAGGAAAAGGAGAAGAAAGTCCTCGATGATGATGATGATGATAATTATGAGCTACGAGATAAGGAAGAGATCGCGGTTTCTAGTCGTCTCTCTGGCGGAATTGATGGAAGAAATGGGAAATATATTGGTTATGGTATAAATACTTTAGATGATTCCTTTTTTCTTTTAAGAACTGAAAGAAAAATTAATTTAAAATTCTGAGGATATCTTTTAATTGAAAAATTCTTCAGATAAATTTCTTTCTTGATTTTTGCTGAAATGATAGATGGATATATAATGTTATTATACAAGTTGTTAGTATTATTATATCTGAAGGATTCTAGAAAATAATTTAGATGATTTTTTTTTTCTCTTTCAAGAACTGAAAGAAAAATTAATTTAAAATTATTTAAAAAATTTTTTTTAATCGAAAAATTCTTTTTTTGACTTTATGCTAAAATGATAGATGATTATATATTCTAGAAAAAAAGAAATGTATAAAAATTGCTTGTAACTTTGTTTATTTATTTATTTATAAGCAATTAAAGTTTTTCTGTCTCTACCTCTCTGGAAATAAGCTTCAACTTATATTTTCATGATAGCAATCGAAATTTTGCATTTTCTTTTGCCCCTTTAAAATTATGACTTTTCAAACATATATTCCATGAATATATTAACTCTTAACCTTAAGAAAGCTTACTTACAATTTTGTTCAGTTATTGAATAGAAAATGTATCGCGATCTTTTTTCTTGATATCTGAATTAAAATTTCATTTCCTTTGATTCCACCTTTACTTTTTTCTCTAATCTTACAATGACTGACTCGATGAGAGAAATCTTACTCCAAATATTAAATTTTGTTATTATTTAAAACTATTTAAAACTATTTAAAATATCTGTTGAAACTTTTCGAAACGATAATATTTTTTTTAAAATATGTTCAATTTCGATGGATAGAAACTGTGATGAAATGACCACCACATTAATTGACTTGTGTCTTCACGAATCCCGATTCAGGAAAAGCAGACGGTTCGGTTAGTCAAGTTCGGTGCTCGGATTACGCGTTGACGGAGGAAAGGTTGAAAGAGATCAGATCCGAGTTGATGTACTGGTTCTTCGACAAAGGGGGCGAGAATAACGAAGGCGATTACCTGAAGGAAATTCGAGCTTCGACACCTCAAACGAATAAGAATTTCACTTTTCAACTGCCCTTCTTCGGGTTCAGATTCGATTACACCAGAGTAAGTTGTCGCTCTCCTCCATCCGTTTTGCGCTCGACCAGTTTCTTCAGATGATCCTCGTAATAAAGAGAAACCTATTCGTGTAAATCAATCTTATTAAATTTGGAGATGAGGAAATCTAGATCACGAATCAGTCGAGTTGTTGCAAGTGGTTCGAAGGATAGAGCCAAACTGGACAAAATTATTATTTTCCAGTTTTGGAGATTTAATTTTTGCAAAGCAATATCACTTTTTATTATTTCTTTAAAAAATAAAATGTATAAATGACGTAAAAATATAACTAATAAATATGTAAAATAAAAATTAACATTGCGTTTAATTAGTGTGGAATAAAAAATAATCATAGTAATCAATGTAATAAATAGTAATAAAAATATAAGAAATGTAGAAAAATTTATTCAGAAAGTAATTCCGTTCTTTCACGCGAGCGTCGCTAGTTTATTCAGCCAACTTCGTTCTGAACCGTGTTATTATACATTTTGAGAGTTGGCAATTCGATTCTGTGATATTTTACTTTTTTATTACTGATTTTCAAAATTTCTGAAGTTGATCAAAACAAAATAAAGGTACGAGATTGAATTTGTCCAATTCGACTACTCATGATCACGCGAAACTTGACTTGTTCTTTCGTTGTCGTGAAAAAAAAAAGGGAAACGAAATTACTTTTCGAACAATCCAATATATTTTGCGATCGAGCGCAAAGGGTCTCAAATCTTTCGATCAAAAGATAAAAAGAAAAAAATCGCTCCTTTTCAGGTATCGATGAACGGCTACTTAGAGTTCACCGACCCTCCAAAACATTACACGTATCCTCTCGTGTTCCCGGTCAAATGTTGGCCGAAGGAAAACGATCCCAGTTTCATAGGGATATTTTTCAGTAAATGTCGCATAGGGGAAATACGGCCAACAGACAGAGACCAGAGGAAGCCAGGTGTATACTTTAGGTACATTATAAAGGATATGCTTATCAAGAGTTTATCAATCACTCAACGTGCAAAGTTTAATCGAAGATGGGATAAAATTATATTTCGACTTTTTGAATGATTGATTTCGAGGAAATTTTTAGGATCGAACGAGATTTGCGAACGAGGAGAGACCAATTCGGGGTCGAGATGCGCGAACGTCTCAAGTGGGATGTTCGCGAGGGTATCACTGGCGCAGAAGCTTTCGTGCCAAAACACGCGATCACCGTCACGTGGAAGAGCGTATCGTTCATGGGCGGTGTCGACGTGTCCCTTTACACCACCAACACTTTCCAAATGGTCCTGGCAACTGACGAAACGAACACCTACGCGATGTTTAATTATCCGGACATTCGGTGGACCAGTCACACGGAGGCCGGTGGCGACACTGTGCACGGCGATGGTGGCGTCTCAGCATTCGTGAGTTTATCATTGAATACGTTTCAATTGTTGTATGCAAATCGTCGAAGCTGTTTTTAATTGTTTTTAAACAAGTAAGAGTTGTTAAGGAACCCTTTCTTATAAACATTTTCCATAATTGTGTGAATCAGACGTCACAATATATGTAATATATTTCTATTTTGTATTTTATATTTATATAAATTGTATTGTTTTTCAAATTGAATTTGTTGCTGGTAGATGTAATTACGAAGCAATCTTTTTTTCGTTTGATATGTGTTTTTTATTTGTAAAGTGAGATTTTTACGAATGTCTCTTCCTTTTGTTTCTTTACCTTTAATTCAATCTTCAATTGTTTTTGAACAAGTTATCCATTTTTTTGTTATTAATCATATTTCGACTCAACAAGATTTCTAACTACATAGTTCATTAATTATAAGCATTTTTCGTAATTGTCTGAATCAGCCATCGCAATATGTGTAACATATTTTTATTTTATATCACTTTAACATACAAATCTAAAAATTTTGCATATACATTCTTTTTCAGATTGGATTTGTTGATAGATAGATATAACTATCAAGCAATCTTTTTTTCATTTGTAAATGGAGATTTTTATGGATGTCTCTTCCTTTTGTCTCTTTAATTCAGTCTTCAATTGTTTTTCAACAAGTTATCCATTTTTTGTCATTAGTCATATTTGATTCAATAAGATGTCCAACTATGCCAGGCCAAAGTTTTTACTTTATCGTATCAATCTAAAAGTTTTGGGGAAATTTTAACCATTGATTCGTTTCAAACATTTTTATTAATTAATGATAAATTCAATCTGATTCTTGTTTTAGGTTGGTTTCAACGCTGGAAATGGGACAGGAAGCTACGAATACAAGCCTTACTCTCAAACCCCGTACATACGTGATCTAACCAGAACAGGATGGGTAAACGGTTTTCCAGGACGACACATGTTTAAGATAGACGAAAAAATAATTCCTGCAGTTTGCAGCTAAAATATTGTATATCGAACTTGTAGAGAGCGATTATTAATCCTTCAAGTGTTTTATTATCTTATAATGAAAATGTATGTAATAATAAGTAACAATAAAATTGTTTTTTTTTTCCTTTTGAAAAACTTATGCTTTTATTGATTAAAGATTCCAGAATTAATATGTGGATTAAAAATAAAATATAAAACAACCCTTGATAAATATCATTGTGATTTTGATTATCTCCAAGCTCTTTGCGAATAGAAAAATAACTGGCTGATGCACACAATTTTTAATAATTAACAATCTTTGTTAATATCTCGATATACACAATTTTATAATCGATTTAATATTAAGCTTATTATAACATTATGTAAACAATTATTATAACAAGATATTCGATTTTCAAACGAATTAATTAATAAATTCGAACGAAATTGAACATCTACTTTAGCCAGGTTTTACGAAATTTTTATTCACGAAGCGGCCATTCAGAATTTAATGCATTTCGTGTCGCATCTGCCACCAATATATACGAAAACGTGCTGACGAAAATTCTTGAGTATTTGGAGAGAAAATTTCTGAAAAAATGCTCTGATAACGCAATATAATATTCGATCGCGTTTAATTTTAAAATACGAGCACGGATATTCAATAAAATCGAAACTTTCTGATTCTAACATTTATTAAATGGAAAGAAATATTAAATATCGCAATAAAAATGAATCAGTCAAACCTTTATTTAGATTTCATTTCTTCATATTATCGACGAGATCATTTCTGGAATATAATTTACATATTACAAACAAATAGACAATTTTACATGTTCAATTCTCATTTACAAATCTAATTCTTCTGCGATATAAAATATATGTGTTATCTTCGATTACAGTATCAAATCAAATCACAAAGATACACTCTACTATAATTGAAATACAGGATAAAATGATCTCTTTGATTCTCCATCTTGTTAAATTATTTTTATAAAGAGAATCAATCGATTCAGGTGGATTAAGGGTAATTCGGACGAGTAATTAAATTTTTTTATTATTGGATTATTGAAAAATTGTATAATGTTAATATTAGGTGAAATTGAAGCTAAGAAAATGGTTATTCGATTTTCTTCTCGTTTATTACACGACGAAATATCACGTCAATGATGTTTGAATATATATATATATCGAATATATTTACATTTTTCAACATTAGTTAATAATGTATTCGTTGATTGGCTGATTTGAAATATTGAGATAGATTTAGCGAAATTCGACTCTGTACAACTGCTCGTTTTACTAAAATTTCTACAAAATTTGCGAATCCATTGTTACAGATATGCATAACAAATCCCTTGATTCGATTCGACAATGGTTAAAAATAACTCCTCCTCCTCGAAGGGGGTATTCACCCCCCCCGATCTCGTTCCAAGAAATCCGCCATCCAATTAAAAATATCCCCGCCCGTAAATTTCCCAATAAAAACGTCCACGAGGAGGTTAAAATTCGGATGATCGGAGGCGCGAATCGTGCCCCATTGAAAATTCAGGAAGCGTGTCCAGCACGCGGTTTAAAAGCGTCGGTTGGCAATACGAGGGGGCGGTTGAAGACGGAGGTCGGCGCGAATCGATATATCGACACGGGCCATTTTTCCCTTCCTCTATAAATAGCCGAACGGCGGACACTAGGTTCCTAGATTACACGTGTGTACACGTGTGCGCCAGCCAGCCCAGCCTCGAATAGATTAGAGAACGTAGTCGCCAACTGGTGCCTGATTTACGACCACGGCAGAGGTGTTTAAGCTTTATTCGTTTGGGGCCCGATTTGATTCCTGCGAGGATCCTTAATTGCGGGGGACGATTTGATTGCGATTGGATGCGATCGGTGTTGCGCGATCGTTCCTTTGAAATGGAAAATGCAT